CTACCCCATCGTGAAATACACACAAGTCGGTGAGCCTACGTCATACCTTGGCGTACGTATGTACATTATTCATAGACATCGGTGAAAAGGGCGCCAGCCGTATTACGTATGCCACGGGTTATTATGCCCTCTAAATGTTTAATGTGTTTGCCTTCCTTCGCCGGCCACCGACGTGGCTTTATGTTTTACTAAGTAAATTACTGTTTTTTTTTTTATTAGTCTACCCAGCGTTAATGTTGGCTCAATCGATTCCTACCCTTCCCTCTCTCCCTCTCCTTCAACCCCCCCCCTAACTCTCTTTCTTCCTCTCTTTCTTTCATTCTCTCATCATACATCTTCTCTCCCTTTTTTTCTTATACTTCGTCTTTTCTTTTCTTACGTATTCGCCAAGGACTTATTCAAATTCTTCCAAAAAGATCGTCATCGATAAAATTCATCCATACCCTTAATTTTGAATTTATATTTTCAATCGATTATAATTTAATATTAGGAATATAAAATAAGCTTATATATATATATATATATATCGAGAATGTCTTACTTTACCCGAACTTCGATTTTGCTTGTTTATGAATCGGAACGTATGTAATATCATCTTGAATATTTCAAGAGTAAGAAACGAGGGTAGGCAAAGTGACGAAGAAAGGAAAATAATCTTCCGGGTTTACTTAATTTAGCAAAGAAGAATAATAAAAAATCCCTTTTCTCCGTTTCCAATGGTAAAGACGCTTAAAGTCCAGCGGTAAAGTCCGAACAACGAAAGTGCCGTACGTTATACCGAAAATTAATATACGGGACAAGGCTCTCTTTTACGAGAATAGTAGAAGGGAGAAAAGGGAGTAAAGGAAGGAAGGAAGGAAGGAAGGAAGGAAGGAAGGAAGGGATTGGTGGGAGGATGGAAGCTGGCTGAAATCGTTAAAACCACGATCGCAAAAACGCGCGATGCCGAAAGCCGAGAGAGGCAGAAAGTTCGGAATTTACTGCCCGACATATTGGCTGCGAAAGCACACGAAATTAAGGCTAGTAAAACACTCTCCTGACACTCTCCGCCGTTTTCTCTTCCACACCTTTCTCTCTCTTTCTCTCTCTTTCTCTCTCGAAAGCCCCCGAACCCCACCTATTCCACCCACTTTGCAAGCGTAACGCGAATATTCTCCCTTTTCTCTCTTCCTCTTACCAAAAGGACTCCTCTAACGTCGAACGTTCAACCTACTAAACTAAACAACCCCCTACTCCCTTTTTCTCTCGTTAATACTTGGACGAAATATTCCTTCATATTCCTACCGAAAAGAAACTTTCGAATTATGTCACCCATCCCTTTTATTTTCTTAAAACTTTGTCACGTTAACCGTGCTAAACGTTTTCCTTCGACGATCGTGGTTTAAATTATCGCACGCATAATCACCCTTTAAATTATTATACTTCATATTCGATAATCGCTTGTACGTTCGATAATCTTGCTTTAGATCACCCAACAAACCCCCCTTCAAAACCCCCCATCTCTTCCCCATTCCCCTCTTCTCCACTTTCCCACATCTACCCCACTTCCACCGCATCCTCTTTCTCCTTGTTCGTTGTTTATACTATTATCGTAATTGCAACTGGAAAATCTAATTATACTGGGACAATGTATAGATACCGTTACTAATCTATCTATCTGTTTATCTATTACTATCTTTCTACATCTCTCTAATCATTATCTATAATCGCTAATTTTCTCTTTCCATCTTACTTTCCAAATTGGTAATTACATTGAATATTATTCACGTTTTTGGTACGAGAAAGTGATGTTGATTTTGTTTTTTTTTTTTTTTTAAATAAAGAGGTAAGTATGATCTTTTTATTTTTCTTATAATTATTAAAAGAAAAAAAACAAATATGAAGAGAGGACATTTAAATTTCGTATCGCTTAATTCGGAAAGGTACAGGTCTCGCCATCTGACGCACGAAAAGCGAATTTGATATGATCGGTCAACGGTAATAATGGACGAAACTCGTAATTTCTTTTCATTATTTTTTAACAATTGACAATTCAAGAGAATGTTTAAAAGAAAAGACAGGATATTAGAATAAATTAACAAATGAAATTAAAAGATATATGTATATGTAAATAAAAACTTACCAATAAATTTGTAGAACAAAAGAAAATCAAATTTAAAAGGTTGCAGAAAATAAAAACTGGGTTGAAACAATTGGAATCGGGCACGAATGTGTAACAATAGGGCGTTAGAAATTCTGTAACAAAAAATAAATTAATATTAACAAAAGAAAATGATAAAAATTAATGATAGATAAAATTGATAGGAACGTCGGAATCAAGAACTCTAACCTCAAACGAAGGAACGGTCGGTACGAAAGAATTTCTTACCCGCGAAATGAAAGTATTTCACCCACTCAAAAATACAAAAAAAAAAAAATCAAAGAAAAAAAGAGTAAAGAAAAGAAAAGAATAGAAAAAAGAAAAAACACAATCGTAGGTGTAAGCATAGAGGATAAAAAGGATCAATCCTAAAAAAGGATTGTCAACGTACCGACTGATTCAAATTGGACTAATCGATAATTTCAAAGGATAAATGATAAAATGGCGCGAACGATTTCGACCGAAAAAAGCCGAAGGTTCTATTTCGTTTAAAGTACAAGTTTTAATTGACAGTACGACGGGGAGGAAAATAAAATGAAAATGATGAGAAATAGAAAGAAAAAAGAAAATATGAAGGATCTGAAAAAGCTTTAAAACGGGAATGCAAGAAAAAAAAATTGGGAAGTTCGTAGCCGTAGGCAAGATGATATTCGAAGAAACGAGTAAAAAAGAGAGAGGGACAGGTCGGGAATAAAAGGGGAAGGAGTGTTTGAGGGGTGAAGGGAAGAGAATAATAGTTTTGACATCTCTATAGCACGACGCGCATGAGAGACGCCACACGACGACGACGACGACGACGACGATGACGACAAAGACGACGACGACGCAGGCGTCGCCACCGCGTTGTATACTGTACAACCACTTGTGGATTGCAGGCATGGCCCAAAGTGCGAGAGAGATGCACGACCTAGAGGACGAGGACACTTGCTGCTCTTGCTTCTAATGCTGTTGCTATTGCTGCTGCAGTTGCAGTTGCAGTTATGGTTGTATGTTGTTGCTCTTATTGCTTCTTCCAATGAACAAAATAAATGGCGACGACGACGACGACGACGACGAAAAAAAGACACGACACAAACGCGAAAAACGATGATTGTATACGAATGGATGAAAAATAAAAATAAAAAGATAATTAAATAAAATGATCAAACTTTAATATCAATATTAAAGGAGGGAAGTAATTGGGGGTTGGACAAAAATAACGAAAGGAAATTTTCTCGCGATAAATAATCTTCCCCGTGAATTCGTGTACGTCCTGTTTTTCGTGTGCTCCTGCCGCCTTAGGTACTGGACCAAATAATTTGTCGAAATGTCGTTGATCCTTACCAATGAACGATCAAAACGATCAAATATTATCTTCTTTAAAAGTATCCCATTGAGTCGCGATACACATGAAATCAAACGGCCACGGAAATCACCAAAATACTAGGAGGAGACTTGCGGCGGAGACATTTCTCTCTGTCCGCGAAACGACTGCATGTACACATTGGCGATAGTGCTGCCAAGTCGACGGCGTCTCAGTGTACTAACGCGACGACGCCGTTTCCTTCCTCTTTCCCCCCGTAACTTTCGAAGCCCGCCAAATTTAAGTCGCGTCGCGACGCCTATTCAAACTCGTTCTTTACATTTTTCCATGGTTTTTCATTATTATATTTGAATTTCTTTGTTTCTTTTGATTATTATAAATTAATCGAGGATAAATGAGTACGATTATTGACTTTTACTACTCGTTGAGAGAAATACTACGAATTTTTGTACAAGAATCGATTATATTTATCTCGAATATATTAACCGTTTGAGTGCCACGGGCTTTTCTCATTTCCTGATCGAAACTTGCCAAGCGGCGCGATAGCGCTTGTTATATTCCGTGTCGAAATTTGCCAAGCGGCGCGATAGCGCTTGTTATATTCCGCGTCGAAATTTGCCAAGCGGCGCGATTGCGCTTGTTATATTATATTTTTATTATTTTTTATATTATTTTTTTGTTATTGTAATATTTCGCGCCTGCTGTAATTATGGGCTTCGCAGCTCAGAGCGCTGCAGTTTTCAAGACAGGACAGAAGAAGCGCGATCGCGCCGCTTGGCACTCAAACGGTTAATATTATATTATTTATATTTTATTAACATTAAAGACAAGTTGAAAAGTAGTAGAAGTTTATATTTATTGACGAACTATTCGTAAAATGTTAAAAAATGCAGGCCAAGTTCCAACGAATCGTATGTAGTCTCGTCTCATCGGTGGCGCTATAAACGTGGGTGCATCAGACGCCACAGTGGTACTCATTTTTACGAACAATCCAATATATTTTTCACTTATTTATATCTTAAGACATATTACTATCGCTATCAAAAACAATCCTAGCAAATATAGATTCTAATTGAATATAAAAATCAATTATTTCTCACTCCAACAATTAGTTCCTACAAAAATAACTATAATACAAAAACCAACTATGTATCACTGGCCGGTAACAATTCTGCCATCTCTTTAAAGCAATTTTCACAAGAAACACCCTTGTTTCCCATTCGAAACAAACGAATCGTCAAAGTATCCTAAACGAAATAAAAATCATCCAATTGATTATAAAAAACAAGAAAAAGACAAAAACTGCAAAATCTCTCTAGAAGAATAGAGCTTAATTCAATTGAAATAGATTCCACTGTTCAACCCTTATTATGAAGGAACCTTTAATAAGCGCACATAGAGTAAATTGAGGAGGACGGAGGGAAGGAAGGTAGAAAAGTGGGGATGAAAAAAAGGTGGAAATAAGGGGGAGTAAAAGAAGGAGTGGAAAGGAGAAGGGGTTGGTGAAGTAGGGGTGGAAAGGGTGGTAGGGAGGTAGGGTGAAGTAGAGACGAGGGTTCGGTCGTTCTGAAGATGGCGTCGGCAGTGTGCGCGACGCTTCGCGTCGAGGACGTGAGACGAGGACGGTGGCGAACTAGAGGAGGAGGAATTGGTGTTTAGTGAACGAGTAATATCATAGTCGATCATTGTACTAAAAGAGTAATAATAGAGGAAAAATATAGATACTCGTTAAAGGTGTCGAGGGCACCCTTCAAGAGCGGCAACCTTCTGAGCTTGTGCTCGTTAAATGGGCCAATCCGGTGACGGCTTCGTCCTATTGCATGTTCTGTCTTTCTTATACATATATCTATATATGTATATACATAGATATATATATATGTAGATATAGATAGATAGATAAACGTGTATATGTTTGTACATGTACATATATACATGCAAATAGGAATATCGGGCTCCGTTTTACCCCGGATCTCGAGTGACAGGCGGCCGCTTACGTAACGGATTATTCTCGCTATGATAACGATACTCCAGGCGCGAATACGAAACGACAGAAACGATCCTTCCAACGACGGGTGGTTATTCGCGGCGCTGCCTGCGACCCTGCCAGAAATACGTCGTGACTGACCCGAATAATCATCTCTCCTCTTCCTTCTCTTCACCCTCTTACTCCTATTCCTCCTCTTATTTTCCTCCACCACTTCTGCTTCTTCTACTTTGACTACTACTACTACTTCTTCTTCCTCATTTATTCTCTACTTCCTCGTTGTTCATTCTTTGCGGCGACGTCCCGACGTTCTGACGTCGTCGTCGTCGTCGTCGTCGTCGTCGTCGTCGTCGTCGTCGTCGACTACCTATTTCTTTTCTTTCAACATATGTATATATATATATTAAATACTCACATATATATACATATATATCAGCACCCGTGTGGTGTCACTGTGAAAGCGTCCCGCCGGGATTTTATTCTTCTCGTTGATAAACCACGGTAGAACGACAGACTTGCAAATACCACAAACGGACAGGAAATTATGACAGCTGCTCTCGTCATGGAAAAAGTTAACTGGGATCCCGGTAAGTTAACGAATTAGTTATCCTCTTTCTCTCTTTCTATCTGTGTTTTCATCCCTTTGAACGCACGAGTTACTTTCTCTCTCTGCCTCTCTATCTCTATCTCTCTCTTTCTAGTTCAGTGTACTCGTGTATGCGCGAAGAAAACAGTGTTAGATATATATCTCGATAGATAAATATAGTACGATTCGTTTGTTTAGTCAAGTATGAAATTATTTAATAAATTATTTGTAAAAACGTGATATTAAATCGCATTTAACTGTATCAAGAGAATAATGTTAAATATACAGATAGATATAAAGATGAATAAATTCGGCATTTATTGTTCTAATAAAAAATACGATTATCTATAAAAGTGATCTGACAAACCTCCATAACATATTTCTTTGATCACGTAAAGTTATTCGAAAAGTTAAACAAAGTTATACAAAGATAAATGCGAAATGATTCGTTCATTCGTTCGTTTTTACTTAAATAATGGCTAATAAAATTGTGTTATAAAAAAAAAAAGAATAGAATCAATGTAAAAAAAGAAAAGCAATGACGTTAATTCATCGACCCGTGGCCATCGACTCGTACGACACGAAAATATATTGTCTGACGTAAACCAAGTGTATTACTCCTGTGTAGTTGCAAGGTTTCGCGTGCCAACGTCGCGTGGGTCTTTTAAGATTCGCCGGGGATACATATTACATACATAGGATACGTATACATGTATCTTCAAAATCATGAAAGTTACCCTTAAACCATATACTTTTGTTTTTATCATCAAATAAAAACATTTCCATTAATCTATGATATCTATTTCTTTACAGCATTGTCGAAACTTCTGAAGTCTTTGAAGGAAAACAAATCGGAAATACCAAGTTGTACCGACGAAGAGTTTGGTTTTCTCAGCGAGTTGTTACAATCTAAGGAGTTGAACGCGTTAGTCACTGTTCACAATAAGATATTAAACAATGTCAAGGATGATAAGTTCTTTCCCGTATTGTCCAATTCTATGGACATTGATATTGAAGTTCTCGATATGTTGTCTACGAAAACTCACGTTTCCGAAGATTACAAAGAACTTTTTCATCTTTTACAAAAACCCAATATGCAGGTCTGTATGATTATGTTTAACTAAATAATTATTGGTTTAATCAATTTAATAGTTTCATCTTTTTCTTTGCAACTTTATTCAGGGTCTACTATGTGCTCACGATGCTGTTGCCCAAAAGGATTATTATCCCAGATTACCCGAAATACCATTGGAAGTAGACGAGGATGAAGAAACGGTTAAGATTGTTCAGCTGGTCAAATCTAACGAGCCCCTGGTACGTAGAAATCGATTTGTTGTTCGATCGTAACTTCGATTTTAGACTATCCGTATACATATTATCCTTTTATTCCATTTGATTAACCTTTGACATAAAACGAAACCAACATAAATAAAAAAGAAAAGGGAAAATTAATCGTTGATCGTCGAGGGGTGTTCCCTTTAACAAAAAACGCGAAATAAAACTGGGACGATAGGGTGAAAGAACAAAAAAAAGAAAAAAGAAAAAAGAAAAAAAAAAGATTGAGAGGTCTCAGTTATATTATTATTATGATTACGATTATTATTATTATTATTTTGATTATTATTATTATTATCATCTCGCGTTGTATTTTTTTTTTCTATCAGTATCGTTTATACTTGCATGCCGATCTTTGAAAAATTATATATCTATATATCTTGTAACGTTCCTTTTTTTTTCTGAAGCACCGAGTAGATACCAAAAAAAGAAAGAAAAAAAAAAACAATAAAAAAATACAATATTTTTTTAAATTGTACAACAAATTACAAATAGTAATTATTTCTCCGTTTGACCGGTTATTAAAAAACAAAACAAAAAAATAAAAAGAAGAGAAACAAAATGAATTTTCTCAAGTAATAAACGTATTTCTTTCATCGTCAAACTTGCTTCGAAGTGCGGCACCGGGGTCGAACCGATCGTGGTAAGTTTTCGCCTTTTGACTACCCGTCAAAATATTATGTGATATAATTAATATTAATTATATTATATTAATATGCTACGGGTATGATAAAAAAAAATTTGTTATTTTTCAAAAAAAAAAAAAATAAATGATACAAAAAAATATACAAAAGAAAAAAAAGTTTTCATCTCGTTTCTATATGATACATATATAACATGCATATTTATAAGAATAATTTTTAAAGATAGACAACAACAACAACAACAACAACACAATCGTTGCACTTCATTCAAAATTACACACAATGTTTTTTACTGGCTGCCGTTCCGTTCATTATTTCTTTCGCATTATATCTTTTTTATTTTTATTTTTTTTTTCTTTTTTTAGCGCCTGTCGTTTGGCCTTTTATCGCAAATATTATAATATTTATATATTAAGTACGCGAAATCGTTCAAAAAAAAAAAAAAATTTATTTAAAAAGTTATTTTTTTTTTTTTATGTATAATATGTGTGTAATTTTACTAACATTCTTCGTCCCTTTCTTATATTTTTCATCCCTTAGTTTGTTCGTTCATTAGTCTCTACCAATTTGTACTTTATCGATCACCCTATGCTTATAATTTTTTGGATATTATTTTCTTGTTTTTTTTCTTTTTTTTTTTTCTGTACATAAGTATATTGCATGCGTAGTATATGTAAATTTTATTTTGCATTTGCCGAAACGCTGTAATCATTTTTTCTTTTCTTTTATTTTTTTCCCCTCTCTCGTTATTATTGTTGTTGTTGTAGTAATAGTAATTACTGTTCGAATTAATTTGTTTTTTTTTTTGGCTTGAACAATTTTTCTACAATCTGATACGTTGTGTTATTGACCCGCATGTGTTTTATAGTTTTGAAAACAATTCGATTACATTTCGTACGAAAAATTCTCGAAACGATAGAATTATAATCAATTTGTTCTACCTCGTCTCGAGAAAAAAATAAATAAATAAATATACACGTAAGTGAGAGTACGTAAAGTGATGTATTAAAAAAAAAAAAAAAAAGAAAAAAAGAATAGAAAAAAAATAAAAAGGGAGGAAGAAAAAGATCGAACATTGAACGTGATCCTTTTTTCGAATATTCCAATGTAAAGAAAAGAAATGTAAAATAAAGTATACAGAAAAAAAAAAAAAACAGAAATAATAAAGAATAAATCGAAAAGGAAATGTAAAAAAAGTTTCACGTATTTCGATCGTGTTCGATCTGTCTTCTTGTAGCTTTTCTTTTTCTTGTTTTTTTTTTAATGTATTTTTTTTATCGGTTTTTCTTCTAAAAAAAAATAAGATACGTGTCTCCGAGTAAAAGAGAAAGAGATGACTTTCCTCGTGGTAATTTTTTTTCGATCTATTTTTGTTTTTTATTTTTTATTAAAGTACGAAAAAAAAGGTTCTTCTCTTTAAATCGAACAAACACGAGTTTCAACGAAATGATAATATTAGTTTGCATGTTGAAAATAGGGAGCAACCATAAAGACCTGCGAGGAAACCGGAAAGATCGTGATCGCACGAATAATGCACGGTGGTGCAGCCGACAGATCTGGCCTTATTCATGTTGGGGATGAAGTATGCGAGGTCAATGGTATCAGCGTTGAAGGGAAGACACCGAATTGCGTTCTTAAAATTTTGGTACATTTTTAGAATTATGTTTTCTACATAAATCTACAATTATGATACTTTATTTAATATCAAATTTATATAATTAATTATAAAGAAAATAAATGTTTTAATAAAATGTTTTAGCAAAATTCGGAAGGTACGATTACGTTCAAGATTGTACCGGCAGACAGTAAGGGTGGAATAAGAGAAAGCAAGGTAATTGAATAAATATTAATTACCCCATAATAATAAATAAGAATAAAATCATTTTTCTTGTTTATTATTTAAAATTGAAAATCTTGTATCAAAAGGTACGAGTGAGAGCACATTTTTCGTACAAAGCTTCCGAAGATCCTTACATACCATGCAAGGAAGCAGGATTGGATTTCGTCAAAGGGGATGTTTTGCACATCGTCAGTCAGGACGATGCATATTGGTAAACGATATTCCGATTTTTCAATATCGAGATTAAAGATTCGGTGATTTAGTTAAAAATAAAAAACTACAATTGAACATTGAATCAGGTGGCAAGCAAGAAGAGAAGGTGATCGAAATATGAGAGCCGGTTTGATCCCCAGTAGAGCACTTCAGGAACGTAGGATCATTCTCGAGAGACAACAAAGGGAAAAAATCGACGATGACAATATAAGTAAGTTGATAATCTAATCAATATTTCTTTAACTATCATCCGATTATCGTAATCTCATTGGATTATTCTTTTTCTATTACACATATATATTTTATATTTTTTTTTAATCTATTCCAAATACATTTCATTATTCAATGAAATTTCATTTTGAATTTTTATCTCATGTCACCTGTCGCATTAAGTGCCTTCTCTTATCAATCTTCAAATTAAATAACATAAAAGTAACATTAGATTTTATCCACAATCGAATTTTCAGAGCACACGTAATATTAATAAATGGTAGATCCGATTTGATTGGTAAAAAGTACATAGAAAAAGAAAAAAGGCACGTTTATACGAGACGAGCATGATAAATTTTATAAGTCACTTCGTCGTCTATTTTTAACGATGAAAGAGGGATGAATCGATCGATCACTTTCTCTCTCTCTCTCTCTTTCTCTTTCTCCTTCTCTTTTTCTCATTGGTATGAAACGTGTTGAGTCCTTCAGAAAGACATTGTCTGCTTACGAATTTATTATCTGGATAAATAACATAACCGATTCGAGTCTAGGATCTGGTTTGTCTTATTTCTTCTAAAGATGTGCTCTGACGATCAATTATTTATCTAACATATATCATATCAGTCCCAAATGCTTTGCTAACAAAAAGAGGAATGAAATTTTTGTCGAAGTAGGTACGAGCATTAAAAGAGCATCGAATAAGAAAAATAAAAAAAAAATAAAAAGACATACACGTACACAGAAGAAAACTACTGTAACAACAACAACAACAAATGATAAGGAGAGTGATTAAAAAGAAAAAGCAAAAGAAAAATAAAAACAAACAAATCAAAGCAAGCTTTTTTTTTGGTAGTAATTTTGTGGTTTAACGGATGATGGCCTGACGGCTTAACCGTCGGTTAGGCTTGTGTTCTGTTCCAGTGCCTTTGCCCGCATTGTGCCCCCGTCCCAGTACCTCTTTGCACGCCTCGCCTACAAAGTGCAACTTGCAGGGAATAAAAACTAAAAAAATCATGTATGACGCTGCAGAAAACGACGACTTTGATCGGGAAGAAGTACCGACTTACGAAGAGGTCGCCAAACTTTATCCAAGGCCGGGTCTCTACAGACCCGTTGTTCTTATTGGACCACCTGGTGTTGGCAGAAACGAACTCAAGAGGAGGCTGATGGCTACCGATCCTGACAAGTACAAAACTCCTGTTCCCTGTGAGTGTTTTTTTCATAATAAACTTTAATTATTTATTAACGAACAAAAATACGAGTCTTACTAAAGAATTCTAGATGAATTTTGAAAAAATGTATTTCTTTTTGTAAAATATTAAATTATTCCTAAAGAAAATAAGACAAATAAATTAAAAAAAAAAAAAAGAAAAATGATAACGAAAAGGGACACTCGTTTCTAAAGATAAAACATAAAGTATATAAGAGATAAACTCTATCGAATCGCACCGAGAGAACTGTGAAACGCGAAACGAATTTCTGAATGAAGTCGGATTACGTATTCGTAAGCATTAAATTGAATACCCTCGTGACATCATAGTTTTGTATTTTCTGCTTACATTGGTAGTTGAAACTTTGTATTTGTACGACTAGAAAAAAAAAAAAAAAAAAAGAAAAAAAATATATACAATGAAATGAATAAATTAATTGTTATATCTTTTATTCCATACAGATACTTCGAGACCTCCGAGGTCCGGTGAAATCGACGGTAAGGAATATCATTTTGTAACTCGTGAAAAAATGGAAGAGGACATAGAAACTGGTAAATTTATCGAGTATGGGGAATACAAAGGGAACCTTTATGGGACTAGTGCGGAAAGTGTTAGTTCTTTGATCAATGCAGGATACGTTTGCTTATTAAGTCCACATTATCAGGCTCTGAAGATGATTAGAACACCACAATCTAAACCATACGTGATTTATATCAAACCACCTAGGTTTGAGACACTTCAAGAAACTAGAAACGAAGCAAGAGCTAGGTCTACCTTCGATGAGAGCAACTCGCGAGGTTTTACGGTATATCTAAAACTCGATTGATTTGTTATATTATTTTGTTTGTTATATTATTATTAATTGTTACTCCTATTAATTCGTAGGACGAAGAATTCAATGAGATTCTGCACAGTGCAGCAAGGATAGAATTCCTTTATTCTCATCTCTTCGACGAAATCATCGTAAATGCTGATCTTTCGATAGCTTTTGAGCAACTAGTCAACGCCGTTCACAAAGTTGAATCCGAACCTCTTTGGGTTCCAGCATCTTGGGTGCAATGAATACAATTCTCTCTTACAACCTATTCGAATTTAACCAATGAACGGAAGGTGATATGGTTAATTAAGATAATGCGGACAACACAGAGAGAAAAGGAGAAAGAGAGATAAAAAAAAATAAACAATACGTGCTTCTTATCGCTATATAAGAGAAAGGATAAGTTTATTTCCTCTCGAGAAACGAAATGAAACGAGACAGTAGATTAATTCGTATTTTTAATCCTTTCAAACACAATACTTAAATTCTTGATTGATAAAAGAATTTGTCTAAATTAACAAAAGTAATATAAGGACTATTTTTGTTTTTTTTTTGTTGTTGTTGTCTTATATATAGATATTAATAAATTAAGATTGTTATTAAATGAAACAAATTCATTTATTAAGCCTCCTAAAGGAGTATGACGTAAAGTTCGAATATAGGAATGAACGAATGTACGATTAATCGATTTTATTCTCGAGAGGAAGAATAACTTGCCAAACAAGAATGGCTGTTTTCGCGTCGACTTCCTACGACGTTTCGAAGTTAACAAAATTTACAATTTAGAGTGTTACATTGCCTTTATACCCATAGTTAAAGAAAAAATAAAGAAGAAAAAAAAAAGAAGACAAATTTGGTACGTCGACGAGTTTAAGAATGAACTACTTTATCGATTAAATCGAATTATATAATATATATATTATATATATATATATATATATATATAAAAAGGGAAAGGAGAAGCGACTAAAAAAATATTACATTAACATACACACATACATACATACACACACACATACATATAGCAGAGACACGCGTGCGTACACAAATTTTCTATGCCTGCGCGAAGAACACGCATACACGTAAAGTTCTCTTCCTTTCGATCGATCGTTAATGAGAGTAAAGGAAATAGAAATATACATATATATATAGAAAGGAAAGCAAGAGAATTAACAAAATATATAAAAATAATAGAAAAATAATTAGGAAACAATTCGGAAATGTTAATGAAACGAGCGAACGTACGATCGAAGAGGTCGAATAATTTTTCTCAGGTATACTCGAACCGCAAATTCGATGTCGTTCGCTAATCCTAATTCTTATTTTTTAATTTTGAATCATTATGAAAAGGCAAAAAGAAAATAATGTTACAAAATTGAGAGAAATAAAAAGAAGAGAAAGAAGAAAATATGCAAACCAAAAAAAAAAAAAAGAAAACAAATAAACAAACAAACTACGCGTAGAATTAGCGCCCTTACTGCCAAAGAGACTTTTCGTCGTTGTGTTACGCGAGACGACTACGATGACGAAAATTTTTTGTATCCTTTGAAGTTATGAAGTTGAGAAACATGTTGATTGATTGATTGATTGATTGATCGTATTAATTGCATATTACATTGATCGATACATTTTTCGAATTCGAAAGAAAATGAGAATTAATCGAAAAAGAAAAAGCAAACTATTCGTAAATATAATTCGTTGCGATAATTAAACTAATTTAATGTGCCCTGCCGCAAATGAAGAATTTGAATTATTATTCGTATATAATACACACACGCGCGCGCGTATAAGCGTAAAAATTTTAATTGGCTTATTATTTATTTCTATTGATCTTACAAATGGCACGAACTTCTTTGATTGCACCTAAACTGATATATCATAATACATAATATATTCTTTACTAATATCAATTAATAGATCAATTTAATTCGTGCCGTTTGAAAAATTCAATTAAAATCTATAATACGCAAAATCTAAAACTTAAAATAAATTTTCTTTGCTACATATTGGCAAAAACATGTGTGTGTATGTGTGTGTGTGTATGTATATACGAATTAATAGTTCTCGTTTTGTCTTCATTCTGTATCCATCTAACGTGGTCATTTACCTTATTACTTCCAGAACATGCGAATATTTCTTGAATCTCGTCTAACATGTATATATTTACTTAATCTTACTTAACTTAATTATTAACTTAACTTACTTAAATAAACTACTTATGTTTAAAACCTCCCATTGAACGCGCGAGAATTCCCTTCGGGAGATGTGTTACGTAATTTGAACGTTACTTAGGAAAAGGATCGAAGCTAATCAGAGATAGGAATAAAAAGAGAGAGATAAAAAGATAAAAAGAAAGAGAGAGAACTCTCGCATGCCTTGGGATCAACGATTTCTAAATGGTACCGTTTTTCTTCCCTAAATTTTCAAAGAATTGATTGATAACAATTCGTCGTTAAACATTTTTGATGAACGGTGAAAACAATAATAATAATAATAATAAATAATAATAATTATTATAATAATAAAAATTAATAATAAATGCGCGCATGTATATTTAAAAAAGAAAAAAGAACAAAAATACGGCCACCATTGCGTACAATCCTTGATCCTGTTTGTTGTTAATTGTTGCCAAATAAATAATCTACTTAGAATGTGCGACGTTTGATAATGAAAAAAAAAAAAAAAAAGAAAAAGAAAATCAAATCAAAATGTCGCCTAACGCAATTATCGTATTTTCCAATCGATCGGCATTTCCATAACGTTGCTATTTTTTCCATGATATAAAATAACAAAATGTATAACAAAACAGCGTAAAACAGAGATGATGATTAATTAAGAAGAAGAAGAAAATAAAAAGAGATAGAAAAGGGACATGCGCCTATCGAGACTGCGCTGTAATTGAATTGACATTCTCGATGTAAACTCTGTATGTTATCGAAATATAGCATTACACTTTTAAGTATTTACCTTGTCTTTTTGATTTATTTCTTAGATATTCGTCTTTTATTTACTACACTCACTCCACGGTTCTCACACATACACACACTCTACAAGTCATTTGGTGAATAATGACTTAACAAGCGAATGAAAAAAAAAAAAAACATGTGTGCAGATCACACGTTTTAGAAGTGAAACCTTCAAAAAACAAAGTTTCGAAAGAATGAGACGAATGCAGAATATCAGGTGTAAGATAATTGTAGGGTTGCCGTCACCCCCGTCACGACCGGCACCTACCACCGTCACCATCAATATTTTATGAAAAATATTCTATGATTTTTATTGTGTGTCCTGCCTTTAGAAATGATTTACAGGAAATATTGTAATTTAATCTTATTAACATATCTGTTTCAGATTTAATAATTAGTTTATGAAATTATTACGTTTTGAATTTGTTATCAAGTGGCGCCATATTTCAACATTGTATTGCGCATGCGCATTTTCTAGAGTGCAGCACCGTCAATGAAACTTGGTTATCACGAATAAAAATTATAACCTTTGATAAAAAGTGAGTTCTCTTGATAATCCGATAATTAAGGACAAATAATTTATATAATTAATACGCATTGATCGTACAAAAAAGTCGTTTTTTACTAAAATAACAACAATTATGGCAGATACAGCAGGAAAGGTAAATTTATATTCATTTCTAAAATAATTATTAATTGTAACCCTTTCGCCGGTATTAAACGATATTGCTTACTTAATTATAATGCATTGACAAATTGAAATTTGAATGTAGTATAATATTGCATAAATAAATAATAATAAAATTAATATTATATTTTCTATTGAAGGTTATTAAATGTAAAGCAGCAGTAGCATGGAAGGCAAAGGAAAAATTATCAATAGAAGAGATTGAAGTAGCTCCTCCTAAAGCTCATGAAGTACGTATTAAAATAGTAAATACTGCTTTATGTCATACGGATTCTTATACTTTAGAAGGATTAGATCCAGAAGGTATATTTCCATGTATCCTTGGACACGAAGGCAGCGGTATAGTTGAAAGTGTTGGAGAAGGTGTAACAGAGTTCAAACAAGGTATTTATTTTCATAAATTTTCAATTAATATTATAGAATATTAATACAATTAATATAATTATAGAATATAATTATAATATCTCTGTTATATATTTGAAATATAATTTCTAGGTGATCATGTTATTCCTCTTTACATACCGCAATGCGGAGAATGTAAGTTTTGTAAATCACCTAAAACGAATTTGTGCAGTAAAATTCGTGCAACTCAAGGAAAAGGATTAATGCCTGATGGTACATCTCGTTTTACTTGCAAGGGACAAACGATTGCTCATTTCATGGGTTGTTCTACGTTCTCTGAATATACCGTCGTAGCTGATATTTCCTTGGTAAAGGTAAGATTGTTGATGATTTTATTTCTATTGCATTTAAACAAATTCGTGTGATATTATTATAGTATTTTTATAGATTGACAATACTGCACCATTGGACAAAGTCTGTTTATTGGGATGCGGTATCCCTACTGGATATGGTGCTGTGCTTAACACTGCTAAAGTAGAACCTGGAAGTACGTGTGCCATCTGGGGTCTTGGAGCAGTTGGATTAGCAACGGCATTTGGCTGTAAAACTGCTGGAGCTTCGCGTATTATTGGAATAGATATTAATCCTGACAAATTTAAGCAAGGTAATTATTATTGAAATAATTCTTTCTATTCGAGTTTTATCGGTTTCATTTATCTAACATAAGTAATTTATTTACATTTACTATATACAAGCTAAAACATTTGGATGTACCGAACTGATCAACCCTAAGGATCATTCTAAACCGATTCAAGAAGTTTTGGTAGAACTCACTGACGGAGGACTTGATTACACATTTGTTTGCGTTGGAAATGTGCAGAGTATGGTAAATATCAATAAATCCATGTAAATATTCTTTATTATATCTAATGCCAATTTATCTTATAATATTATTATTACAGCGTGCTGCTTTAGAGTCTTGTCATAAAGGATGGGGTATGTCTGTAATCGTTGGTGTAGCCGCTGCCGGTGAAGAAATCAGTACCAGACCTTTCCAGTTAGTAACCGGACGCTCATGGACAGGTACTGCCTTTGGTGGTTGGAAATCCAAAGAAAGTGTTCCTAAGCTAGTGAACGAGTACATGTCTAAGAAATTACTACTTGATGAATTTATTACTCATAATTTACCATTTGAACAAATTAACGAAGCTTTCGAACTTTTGCACTCTGGAACATGGTAAGTTTAAAACAAATTTATCCAAATTAACGTGCAAGAGATTTCAATGACTTTATCATTTCATTTGAAATTATTTGTCTTTCAGCTTGAGAGCGGTTCTCAAATATTAAAGGTATATGTAATATATATATATATATATATATATTATTTTTGATGGTATCTATATTGAATATATAAACAATAATTATATTAAAAATTATTTTTACATTCAATTTGATAAGAATTTGATAAATATATACTTAATATATTTCATTGATATTTAGCATAGTGCTGACTTTACCGATGTGTATATCCATCCACTCTTCCTGCTCCTCAAGCCTCTTCAACGTCCTTCACTTTAGAAAAATGAAACTATGTTCCATCTTCAATGTAAGAGGTATTCTACAAGTACACCATCTACAAGTAAAAGGTATTTCCAACGAAAAGTAAGAAATTTCTACAACAATCTTTATTCATAAAGAATTCTTACATTCACATTTACAATACTAACCAAGTGAGATATACTTTAATGGTAGCTTCGAAAAGAAGTAAAAATTCTTTACGGTTCGATCTGGTGCATACCTTAGAAAAATCATCAATCAGCGATCAGGTCATTTATGATGATAATTCTTTTTATCTTATTTGTTTTATTTTTTTATTTTTATTATTTCTTTTTTTTTTTTTTGTTCTTTCCTTTTTTTCTNTTTTTTCTCTCATTGTATATAATCAGGTATATACAATAATGCAAGACTTCAGTAAAACTATATATATATATATTCACGTTCTCGTTTTACGTTAATATTAATTGATCTAGGTCGATAGTTATTACATTAAATCGAGGCGGAATGTAAGTTGCACATAATAGCAGGAAAGAAGAGTATTCGTTAGTTCACACGTTTGTGGAACTACGTCCTCTCTTAATCAATCGAATGGCGTTCGTATATATATATATATTTGTATATGCGTCAATGTATTATTGAAATTTTTATCGATCAAAGGAGACACGCCATGTTCATTAAGAGACTGCAAATATTTATAGAAAAAAAAACAAAAGTAAAGAAAAAGAAAGAAAACAAAACATATCTATATAATTAATAATAATTTATCACTTGTATTATTTTTCTTTTTTTTTTTTTTGTAATCGCATTACATCTCAACAATGTGTCTTTTGTAAGCGACGAATAATATATTACGTGTAGAAAATATTAATTCGGTGCATATTAAAAACAAAACAAATGTAATATTTATTCAAGGCATCGAATTCATTTCTATACCTAATAAAAAAAAAAAAAAATAAAAAAAACATCAAGTATATGTTAACGCGAATATTCATTTTTCTATTTTAATTTTTATGTTTGAGAAGGAGTTGAACTTACGATGAGAATTAGAGTTGAAATTGTATTATAATTAATAATTAGAAGAAAAAAAATGTATACACGTTTTCTTACGCTTTTTTTTTCTTCTTTTTTTTTTTTTTTTAGCCCAGGAATGTTTTTTTTTTAATCGGAAAGTGTGAGTGAAATGCTCTTTTTGTAGGCGTTTATAAACTTAATTATTAAGTCCGTTTCTAAATAGGACATTATGTAATAATAATAATAATTTGCATTGGCTATTACTACGTAAATTGCCTTCTAAATACTAGGGGGCATATTCACATAGTCTCACACCGATATTTCCTCTACAGATATTATATATGTTATTATATACACATATACATATATATATATATATATTTATATATATACATATATATGTATATAAGTATATTCTATATATCTATTGGTATACAATACGTTCTTTAAGTAAAAGTTTTTTTTTCCTTTTTCTTTTTTTCTTTTTTTAAGTAAAAATGCTTATAATTACAGTGAATGCAGATGAATAATCACGACGTTTAAATATTGCTGCTGCTGCTTCTTTTTTTTTTTCTTTTTCTTTTTCTTTTTCCTTTTTTTTTTCTTCTATTAACTTGTTGTTCCACACTATTGGAAAATAAAATAATATTACTCGATTATATCGCAGTTTGTGTGTGTCTAACGCGCGCTTTACTTAACTGTTATTATATTTAAGAGATGTGTGTTTCTAAAGCATGTATTATTTACATTTATAATTGCACCTAACCGTTATATAATTATACGAACGTAAAATAATTCATTCGAAATACTGTTCACAGCGTTTGTTTCTTTATCGTTAGCCGTTTCTTCTTATTAATTACAAAGTTTTTTTTCTAAATATGCAATTTAATTAAACGCGCACACAGAGTGTGACATGAGCGCGTGGCTAATACAATAATCGCTTGGTGTTTTCATTCAAAAAAAAAAAAAATAATAATAATAATAATAAAATCCGGAATTAAATCCATTGTTTAATATCTTGTAGTAATAAATAAGGCGTGCTAATAATATATCTTTCTTTATATGAGACATTTCATCGTCGTGATTAAACCACATATGGTAAATATATAGTTAGCGAATATGAAATAGGTCGTCGTTTTTATTTATTTCTTAT